GAATCTCACCTTTATAACTGAGCGTGAGCTGATGCGAGTTGTTAATTCACCTTATTCATGTTGTAGTGCAGTTGGTGGTGGGGTCTACTTCAGAGGACTTTCATTCCCCTTACGCGCAGAAATCACTGGCAGGCACAAACCAGGTGTTTTTGCCAGCTTGCTGATGTGCGTGTGTGAGGGTCAAAATACCATTTGTAATTCTCTTTTGACATCTGGCCTATTGTGGCTATGTTATGCTGTGCATAGTAATGAACTGACTCTGCATAGCAATACGTTGACTAACCACAGTCATCTGGTAAAAAGATTGCTGCCTTCCATCTCCAGAAGACACACCGACATGCAACTAATACTTAAAATAACAGAGATAGACAGTAGCTCTCTCAGCAAACCTTCAGCAGCAGCACGTTTACAACCTGCTAAGCAATTCAGTATATACAATTTAAATAGCTACGGCACGTGCTGTATAGCCTAATAAAATGGCCCCAGTGTAGTACTTGGTAAATATTTCTTACCATCACAAATTCACAAAGAAGGTGAGAGCAGATTAACAGGTCGGGATGGAGGTTGAGCTGAAGAGAGAGGGGCATGTTCTCAACACTGAGCTATGCATGGCATAAGATTTCAACATGAAGAGAGCGATTGCAGTTGTAGTGTGAGTTTTTGTTGGCTGACTCTACACTTTCCTAGAATAGGTGAATTATTCTGAAGCAGCAAACTGAAAAGGTTGCATGTTACTAAGTTTTCAGAGACCTGGAACAGAATTTTTGTGATGCAATGTAAAGCTGATGTGCCATGATATACATGCACACCAGTTCAAAGGCACAGTTGTGGGATGGGTGCCTTCTTCCCCCAAACGAGAAGGCCATCTTGGTGACCTTGAGAGCTGAAAGTCTCTGTTGCTGTTGCGTCAGCCACACTGAAAGGTTTGTATCTCTGTGGGCGACCCACACTGAAGAATTGCCCCTAATAGACTCCATTTGATTTTTTTCTGGGATTCTGATGTAACTTCAGATACTCGGGGAAAAAAGATCCTGTTCACTCAATGCTATGACATACTGACCTTTTGGGCTGGGCCTTCAGCAAGTAGAAATCATCTCAAGTTGCACTATTACAAGAGCTGTTGTCCCTATCATTGGCTATTCAGATGGTTCCAGTGTTGTTTTAACACCTAATTCAGAATCTTCTTTTCCTTAATTTCCTCTCATTTTTCATTCTCAACATCTGCCTTCGGCACCTTTGCATTGACAGTATCTGAGATGCCCACCTTCATTTCTTGCCCTGTGCCTGCGCACGAACTATCTTCTCTTTCTTCCATCAGACTTTTCCTTGAGATCTTTCCTTGCTGTGGGGAATAGAGACCCCCGTCTGTCTCTCCGCTCTGCACTCATGAGGGTGGTATATGTTAGAGGGCTGTCTCCAAGAGCTACTTCTGCGTGTTCGAAGGCACGGTCGTGCTCTGTGTCTGCACATTTTGGGTCCAAGTTTGAGAACAAGCTTTTCGGGACCAGGTGGGAATGGGCTACCACTCATAAACCAATAATAAACTGGCAAAGCAATGCATATTTTTTCCAACTGCTGTTCTGAAAGGGAGGATGCAGCTCCAGCCAGCAAGGGTTAAAAAGCCTTCCTGACTTATTGCTTTTCAGTCTGTGTAGATGCCACTTTGGTAATCTTCTCCTCTCCTTCCTCTGGAGAATTAAAATACACCTACGCGCAGAATGCAGGCAGGCACACAAGCTGACCAGGAACACATGCCGACTCTCAACACTACTAAATCACGTATGCTGCTGCTACTACGCTTGCAGGAGGGAAAGCAATTACCAAGCTTGGAGTCAGCTTAATAGGAAGGGGGCAAGACTTTTAATAGTATTTTTCTGTGTAAGCACAAACATCCCCAAAAGCTGCGCCTGAGTTATAGGAATACAGTAAGCTTGCTGAGTAGGCAAGCGCTGTGTCAACAGGTAAAAGCTCTCAGTCCTGATAGTTTGCGAGCAGGGAGGGCGATACATCAGCCTGGACCTCACACACATAACTCCTGCATTACCGCAAGCTGGGAAGAGCACCTGAGTTCTCAGAGGGAGCTGGAAGGAGGACAGTTGCTGGCTAGCAAGAAGGCTTTCAGAAGGGGGAGAGCTACCTCCTCTGGGTTGAATTTTCAAAAGCCCCCGTTTTGGCTCCACATGTATCTCTAAGCCTGCGAATCAACTGATTTTCAGCGTGAGTTGGGCTTTTGAAATTCCCACCTTTAATCTCTCAGGCAGGCTGTGGTACAGCAGATGCTGAGCTCTGAGTGCGTGAATAGTCCCAACTGACTTCTCTGCCTGCTCTGACGTTAACTGCAGTCGTTACCTTTCCTAAAGACAAAAATCCAGCTGCTTTCAATGGGACTCCTCATGCACTTGAAATGATGCCGCCTGCTGAATGGGAAGGCTGATGCTTGGGCCGTAATCCTGCAAATATTTACCCATGTGCTTTAGCTCTGTTGCTGGAATAGCCCAGCTGACTTTGGTGGATGACACATAGTAGTAGTGCTGAGCACTTGCATAAGGCCTGACAGGACCATAACTCTGGTCCTTTTCTGTTTCCCACCCATGAAATGAGTTTAATATCCTGCTACAGTCCCCTTCTCTGGAAAGGTTTGGGTTTGGGGTCACTTATTTGTTTAACCAAACAGATCTATTTGATTTTCGTATTGTAACCAAGGAGCTGTAACACTTTGAAGGAGACTTCTCGTGGTCCCTGCTTTGACAAGCCCTCAATCAAATTGGTGAAAAATATGTCCATTCCAAAACAATAAATAGCACAGATTACACAGAAAAATACCTTTCCAGTTCTACTGCTCAGCCTTCCCATGTCAAATGTCAGCCAAGAGCACGTCTTTCCAGTTCAGCAGCTCAGCCACTTCTGTAAGGAAGGGACTGTAAAAGAATAGCTAGACCTTATCAGTTGTCAGAAAACTCTTTAGTGACTTGATTTTTCTTTATAAAATGTAATAACTGTCAGAGGTAGAGAATATATATCTCTTCCCAACTGGCAGCCAAGGGTAGCTGCAAAGGGCAAGCAGTTTGGATACTCATAAATGTGTGATTACAGGCATTTCTGCTAAAGGAGAGAGGAATATTGATGCAATATTCGTCATTTTTATTAGCTTAATATTCTTCTTCCTTAGCACCATATCCAAACTGCTACATCTTTCTTCACATACAGTAGTTGTCCATCTAAGATACGCTGTTGCTCTTTCCATTTCTAACCCAGCGCTCTCCAGCTCCTTGTGCAAAGCCAGAATACGAGGGTTCGCGGTCATGCACCTTCCCCATCGAAAAGATCCCTGCCCCTGCAAGGATTGCTTTCAGCTTCCAGGTTGTTATGCAATAGCTTCCCCTCCTTCTCTGTCATCTGCCCTGTTTCACGTGTCTAAGCAGGGGCCTCTCGAGACGTATTTTTCACTGCGTGTAGAACAATATGGTCTTATGTAGTCTTCAGGGCACGCCAGGATGCTGTGATGATAGCCCAGGGAAAGTCTGTGTGATGGTAACTTGTTTGTGAATACAGCACCTCAAAGCATTCTTTATGGAAGAGATGACAGATTTTCAGTTACAAGTTTTGGGAGCGAGGTGGTGAGTTGCAGCTTGTGAATGCCGACGGAGAGGCCTTGGGACAGACAAGTTGAAGGGAACGCACCACTGTTCCTGTGGACCAGTGCACTGTGAAAAATAAATACGGCAAACAATGTCCTTGGAAGGAAAATGTTCTCAGTATCCACTTCACCTTTCCCTGGGTAGGAAGTGGTTCTGAAACTAGGAAGAAAACGGCTCCATCACAGACTTAAGACCGGATCAATCATCCGTTCCCTGGACTGGACCGGCCAGACTGAGAGAACAGAGAGGAGACTCTGTGGGAAAGGGATCTCTTGCTTTTTAGAGTGCACACTCAAGAAGTTAAGAGATGGATTCCTTTTTCTCCATGGCATTTCTGTTCCTGTTGGGGCTGTTTCCACCATTAAGCCTAATTACTTAGCTTTTTATGTGCTATCCATTTCTTTTCATCATTTTAAAAACTTCAGTTGCCATAACAACATAATGCAATCAGTGAAACATAGCAGCTATTTTCTGTAGTCAAGGTCTGTGCTCTGTCAAGGATGTGAGCCATTTAAGCAAATCTTCACCATCCCCCTTCCTCCCTCCTCTTTCTCGGTCTCTCTTTTGCTCCCTAAACAAGCTCATAACAGGAAGGAGAAACCATCAGGAATAATTAGACACAATAGCAGAGCAAATCCCAATCGTACTCATGCAGTCTAGTCTAATGAACTTCTAGCACTAATCTTGGAGGTGTTGATGTTCCTTTTTAATCACCTTTTTGATGTCATAGATAGATTAGCTGCAGCAGGACCTTGATAATCCACGCTAGAGTCAGGAGACCCAGTGCTTATTCAGAGAAAGAAAAGAAACCCAAAAGCTTTACGTACTTTGCTCATTTTTTCTTCATTCGTTCCTCACTTTCAAATGCTTATTGAGAATATATGCCTATTGTACCATATTAGTAAATAGAACAGAGTGTATTTTCTAGATTCATGGGATTTAATCATGAAAAGTCATAGCATCTATTATTAAATCATTGCTGGAAGGCTGGGAGAAACCACCACGTTTTTGTGTGGGTGGTGAGACTTGTAACAAAGCATAGTATAACTGCTGGGCTTCTACTGCACACATATATATAAAAAGCAGTCTGAAAATAAATCTGGCAGTCTGGTTCAGTGCTATTCTAAGCAGTGTGAATATAAGATCTATCCACAATGTCTTACTCACTCCTTGACCTCCATGAAGGCTTTCCTGGAATAGCAACGAGTGAGTTTCGAAGCCCAGGATTTGGCTTAAGCAGCCTCTCTCTGGCAGGAGGACTGAAGAGTGTACTTTGCCTTTACGGAGCAGGCAGAGTTTTCTGGTGGCTTCCAAGTCGATCATTGCCCGTTCACTCTTTCCACTTGTGTGCTTGTGTTTCAGCACCTTGTCCAAGCAAAGGAAGAACGTCATCAGCTGTGTCACCGTGCATGACTCCCCCTACTCCGATTCCTCCAGCAACAACAGTCCTTACGCCGTGCAGCATCGTGCAGGGCAGAATAACGGGAACACCTACGACACCAAAGGGGTTCCAGAGACTCACTGCAGTGGGAACCCCCGAACGATCATCGTGCCACCACTGAAAACCCAGGCCAGTGAGGTGTTGGTAGAGTGCGATAGCCTGGCACCAGGTAAATTGCACCTCTTCCGTCAAGAAAATTAGTAAGAAATAAATGATTTATCTTGGAAGAATCTCATTGTTCGGTTTCATTTTGTTTGTTTGTTTGTTTCTTTGTTTTGTTTTCCAAAGAAACCGTGCTCCTGCCCTTCTCTCAAGTGACACATCTGTTCTTGGGAGCCATATTGCATTATTTATGTGCCCTGGTACACTCAGCAGTCATGGGGGCAAGTGTCGTTCCCCGTTACTTCTGTACAAACCCAAGAACAGAATGCAGCCTTTAGCGCAACATTTGACGTGACAGGCTCCCAAATGCAAGTGTGAACCTTTGCTGCCCTGCCTTTCCATAGGTTTACATTAAAACGGGTAGGAGATTGAAAACACATGTGCATTTTCATCCAAACTTGTTGACGTTTCTGGGAAGAGCATTTCCCCAGGATCTTCATTATGGACTGATGAGGTTTGCTCATCCAGAGCCTCCGCAATGTTAGGTAGTACGATGTGTTGAAAAGGGGCTTATGGTGGAAGTCTGGCCCGAAGCAATTGGCTTTGAGCTACTTGGCAGTCCTTTCTTTTGACGCACTGCTGGTGAACACAAAGGCTCAGAGGGTGAGCTCCCCACTAGCTCCTTCTTCCTCCCTTCCTACTCACCGTGAGGTCAGCCAAGCCAGGGCTTTTTTGTGCTCTGCTCACTATACTTTCCTTCCTCTCCTTGGGATTTGTACCTGCATCGTACAGTTCTGCTGGCAGAACAGTTTCTCACACTTCTGACGGCTCTATAAGGCCTTTTCCAGGCCTGGTTTTGGTCCAGTTATTGGGTCTGCTTGTCTGCCTCTAGAATAACAGGCTGGCCATGTATATGAAGCACTGCTGAGGTATTCTGTTAATTAAGAGAAACCATTTTCTTATCCTGCTTCTGTTGTATGTCTCCTCCCAAAAGCCACTCTGGAGGAGATTCAGTGAGGAAAAGGTAGGGTGAGCAATTACAGAATGTGATGTAAGCTACAAATGTGTTTCCTTTCCTGGCACAGTCACCACCAGTCACCACTCATCCTCCTACAAGTCCAAGTCCTCCAGCACCGTGACCTCCACCAGCGGTCACTCTTCAGGGAGCTCGTCTGGAGCCGTTGCCTATAGGCAGCAGCGACCAGGAGCACATTTCCAGCAGCAGCAGCCTCTTAATCTAAGTCAGGTAAGTCAACTGAGACAAATTTTGGTGGTGCGTCATCCAGCTGTAGCCTACCACTCCTCCAGCATGGGCTGTCCTGTTCCAGTCTGATGATAGTTGGGCCCCATGTCAAGTTTGATCAACTTGTTTCAACTTCACTGCAGACTTTGATCTTCCAGCTCAGGCAGTGGAGGTGGTGCAGATCCCACCCCTGAGAGGGCTGGCGGTACTCTCACCGTGTGTTTTGAAGCCAGATGATCGAACAGTCTGAGTGGGAATAGTGTGAGAGAGAAGACGCAGTGGCTCAGGCACATAGGAGTGGAGCAGGACCATGTTGGAAGGACTGAATTCTCCTTAGCTATAGGTAACCACGGGGAGAGTGTCTCCCAAGTGAAGGGCGTGCATCAGCCTGGCTGTGGGATTGGGAGAGAAGTCCCCATCAGATGTGTCCTGCTTTGACATCATGTAATGAGTTTGATCTGTCCCGTGATAAACCTGGGCGGAGATCTGGGCAAAGCCCGTTACTTGGCAGCACGCAGTTCTCAAGAAGTTTCATAGTCTGTGATCAAAACACCGAGGGCTCACCAGGAGCTTCAGTAAATAATGACCTTTTCACGTACTGCACCTGGGGCCTCTCTACCCTGAGGTGAGGTCATGAGAGTAGAGAAGTTGCAGCACAGTTACCAACGTTTCAAGAGGAAAAAGTGCACAGAGCTCAGAGGACAGCACTGGTTTGCATCCAGATTGGGATATAAGCAGAACTGGTTTTTTTAAAAAAAATAATTTTGGGGAGAAGAATGTCCCCTCCCCCTCAAAATGTAGTTGAAATTTGAAAATTTAAACCAACTTGAAATAAAAGTGAGTGAAAATGGAGGCAGTGGGCGAGATGCTGTTTCCAAGAGTGGGGGAGGAGTGTGGCTGCCGCATTTTAGGCCACAATGACAGCGCAGGGAGTGCTTACAAAGAGGATGAGAAGGCTTGGAAGAATAGAAGGAAATAACGTGGAACACTGCCCTTCTTGTCTTCTAATTCCTACTTTATTGGTTATTTAATACTGTGACTACAAATGATGGGGAAAACTCCTTGACATTTTTGTGCGATGCAGAAAAAAAACTTAGAAAAATCCCTGAAAAAGTACATTGTTCCTGTCCCACTGCAAGAAATTGCCTGTACTCAAGTAATTATAGCTGATTACCTGAGGGTACCAGGCACCAACAGGATCTGATCGAGCCGAGGGTTTTATCTTTAAAAAATAAAGTAGCTATTTTACTAACCGAGGAAATGATAACCGCAAAGACCCTAACTGAGCAAGAATAAATTGCCTGTTCCAGGCGTCGTTAGGCACCTTCATTCCCCTGAGCTTCTCAGTGCACCACATTTTGTCAGCAGAGAGCTCACTAACAAAAAACGTCTGTTGTGTGAGCGACTGGAGTTGTGGAAGATGTTCTTAGGAGCCGGGCATCCAAGGTTGGGTCTTCATGGTAGCTGTGCCAGCAGGTCATGGCTCAAAGTGGAGGACTCCGTTCTCCTCTTGGGGACCGTTCTGGTGAATGTGTGAAACTACAGGTTCTTCCTAGGCTTGGGAGGGATCCTTTGCTGTCACCCGTTTCCAAGGGAAGACTGGTGATGCTGAGGGTGTCAGGAGGAGCTCAAGGGACTTTTCTGAGGCCATCCTGGTGTCATAGGGAGGCTCCCAGGCATCGTTGAGGTAAAGAGCCGTCTTTTGTCTTGTAACCGCTTATCACTATTGCTGTCTTTATCCAGGCCCAGCAGCACATCGCGACCGATCGCACAGGGAGTCACCGGAGACAGCAAGCCTACATCACTCCAACGATAGCTCAGGCCCC